AATGTCAGACTGCCACCCAGCCCCGTGGTTTCCCTCAAAGACCTACCTTATCTTCCGAGACATGAGTTTAAGGTTCAAGGAGGGCAGGTAGGAGACCACATGTCAGATATCAGCTACAACAGTGTGTGTGTAGGCAGATAGAGGAGGGTTTGAAAGACAACTTTTCAGAGGCTGAGATCATTAGAGGGGTGTTAAAAATCATTAAACCAGGTAGTTTCAAGGATACGTTGGTTAATAAAGATGACATGACAGTTACTGAGTTAAAAGGATTCCTGCAGTCACACCTTGGAGAAAGGAGTAGTACAGAGCTACTTCAGGAGCTGATTTGTGCAAAACAGAGAGAAAGTGAAACCACCCAGTAGTTCCTTTACCGGGTGATTGGCCTAAAACAAAGGGTCCTCTTTAAGTCTAAAAAGGCTGATTCTGAGATTAAATACACACCGGAAACAGTTCAAGGTGTTTTCCTGCACACAGTTTATCAGGGAATAGCGCACAAAGACAATGATATTAGAAGAGAGCTGAAGCCATTGTTGGCAGTCCAGTCAGTTACAGATAAGATGATTCTGAAGCAGGTAATGAGAGTGACCAGTGAAGAATCTGAGCGTCATCGTAGATTAGGCTCCACACACCGAGCAAAACAGGTCAATGCTCATGTTGCCAATGTGGATGAAGGGAAAGCTAGACAAAAAAAAAAGATTAAAGAGCAAAAGTTTTTAAAAAATGACAGTAAAACAACTGGAAGAGAAGATTGACGCCCTCACTAGAGTAGTAGAGGCACTAACAGAAAAAATGAAAAGTCAGTATTCTAGCAGTACCACCAAACAACCTGTAACAAAAGCAGAGAGATGTTACGCGTGCCCTACATGTGCAGAGTTATCAACTGAGGTGATTCAAGAAGCCTGGGGCGGAGCTAGAGTGGCTCAAGAAAGTGATGTTGCATGGGTTGCTGCCCTAGCCCTCGTTGAGAATACCACCCAGGAGCCACCATTGTTAGTCCTACAATCAGCCACGAAGAGTTCACCCAAGCACAAAGAGAGGACAAAACTGTTGGGGAAGTAATCAGACTAAAGGAGAAAATGACAGTTTTAACTAATGATGTCAGAAACACAGTGAGCAGAACAACAGGAAAGTTGTTGAAGGAATGGAACAAACTACATTTTGAAACTGGACTAATGTACACGAAGACAGGTGAGAGACAACAACTAATCCTCCCTGCTAAGTACAAAGAAACAGTGTTAAAGCACTTACACGACAACATGGGACATGTCGGCACAGAGAGAGTCCTGGCGCTGGCGAGTGAGAGGTACTACTGACCATACATGGAGAACAACATAGAAAACTATGTTACAAGGAAGTGTCCATGTATAATCAGCAAAAAACCATCAACCCAAGTACGCGCTTCTATGGGCATCATCACATCCAGCTCTCTTTTGGATCTGGTCTGCATCGACTACCTCCATCTGGAACCAAGTCGAGGGGGATACGAATACATCCTGGTTGTCCTGGACCACTTTACCGGGTTTGCCCAGGCTACCCAACAAATCGGGGAAAACGGCAGCTGATCGAATCTTTGGAGAGTTCATCCCACGCTTTGGATACTCAGCATGACTCCATAACGATCAAGGGCGTGAGTTTGAAAATGAACTTTTCAAGACACCGAGGGAGAAATCAGGTACTGGACACTCAAGAACTACACCATACCATCCTCAAGACAATCCTGCTGAGAGGTTTAACAGGACTCTTTTACAGATGCTTAGAACATTAGCTGAGAGAGAAAAGGGGAATTGGAAAGAACATTTACCACACATAAACTTACAACTGTACGCATCATGAGTCCACAGGCTTTTCTCCGCATTTTCTATTATTCGGACATCACCCACGTCTTCCTGTAGACATTCTATTTGGTCTAGTTGGGGAGAAACAGATACTATCACATAAAAGTTATACAGACAAGTGGGCGAAAAGAATGACAGAAGCATACAGAATAGCCAGCAAGAAAACTAGGTTATCTAGCATGAAAAGCAAGTCTTACTATGACAAAAAGCTGAGGGGGTAGTTTTACAGCCTGGAGATAGGGTCCTAAATAGAAACTGTGGTGAACAAGGGGGACCAGGAAAGCTTGAATCCTACTGGGAGAAAACAGTTTATGTAGTGAAAGGGAGAGGAGGAGACAATCCAGTAGATGCAGTCTACCCTGAGGGCAGTGATGAGAGTACGACGAGGGTTCTACACCGTAACCATTTATTACTTGTTAATGACCTCTCAGTTGACTTTTGCCTTTTGTGAGCTACTAAGCTAATTGGGTGTTATAAAAAGCCCGGGTACTGTTGTTAAAAGTAAAATAAATATATTTTGATTAAAAGTAGAATAAATATTTAGATTTGAAATAGAATAAATATATTTTGGTTAAAAACAGAATAAAAATATGTTGGACTAAAATCATAAATAGATATTTTTGGATTAAAGTCAGAGGTAAAATGTGTTAGTACATACATCTCGTGTGGTTGTGAATTTCTGTGCTGTGAGAAACCAACTGCGTGTATGATTTTCAGTTAAAGAGCACTAAGTATTAAAGTGATGGTTGTGCAACTGGAGAATACATAGGAATGTATTAATAAAATTCGGCAGAAGCGAGGCAAAGATAAACCGCATCTTTTGTCTCTGTTTCATATTTTTCCTGTTTTACAGGAACATTTAATATTGTCTACAGGCCCAAATTCTGGGTCTGTTACACATACCAACATTCCCTCCCATCCCCAGAATACAAAAAATAGTCAGACAATTAAAAACCCCTTCACAACACTCATCCTCTGGCACACACACACACACACACACACACACACACACACTCTCTCTCTCTCACACACATGCCCCCCCCACCCACCCACCCAATGGAAAAAAAAACAGTGGGCTGAGTTCAGATGAGCCAGACCAGCTAAGATAGGGAAACACAATGAGAGGAGCCATCCGCCCCGATAGCAGCAGATCCACAGCAGCAGCCGAGGCACCGACACAGGGCGCCCAGGGCAGGGAGGGCGGAGAGCCCCACCTCTACTCAGGCACACCTGGAAAGCACCCAGGCCGCCACAGCCGACCTTTTAAAAGGTTAAATTAAGGTTAAAACATGAAATAATAAGAGCTAAAATGAGAATTGTAATATAAAAAGTTATAAAGATATTAAAATAATGTTGATCATAAATCTATGTTAAAAAAACTGTTTAAAAATAGCACCTATAAAGAAAGAATACATAAAATAAATAGATAAATAAATAACTTCATTTTACTGACTTTCTATTATTCTTTTATAGAGAGTGTTATCACATTTTCCATCCCCTGTTGGTTTTATTCTGTCAGCCTGCAGTATAGAAACCGTCTACAAAGCAAAGTCAAGGTGTGCTCTCGGATCATTGGACTACCACTGCGAAACTGAACTTCTCAATGAGACCAGCATACAGGAAGTTTAGCACAGAAAATCATTAAAGACCGTTCACACCCTCTTCATACTGTTTTCGAGTGGCTGCCCTCCAAACGCCGACTTCGATGCCCGTGCTGTAAAACACAGAGGAGGAGAAGTTCCTTTGTTCCCAGAGCTGTGCTTCTTCTTAATTCTCAGTGCAGATAGGGGGCGTGTGCATTACTTGTATGTGTGTGTGTGCATGTAGTTACATGTATGCATGTGTATTTGTGTGTGTGTGTGTGTGTGTGTGCGCGTGTGCGTGCGTGTGTGTGTGTGTGTGTGTGTGTGCATGTAGTTACATGTATGCATGTGTATTTGTGTGTGTGTGTGTGTGCGCGCGTGCGTGCGTGTGTGTGTGTGTGTGTGTGTGTGTGTGTGTGTGTGTGTGTGTGTGTGTGTGTGTGTGTGCATGTAGTTACATGTATGCATGTGTATTTGTGTGTGTGTGTGTGTGTGTGTGTGTGTGTGTGTGTGTGTGTGTGTGTGTGTGTGTGTGTGTGTGAGCCAAAGGTTTACTCATTGTTGGTCATCCACATGTGAGGTTATGACATGAATGCGTATTTAGGTTTTATGGGTTTTACAAATGTGTAAATTGGTTGTGTTTTTAGAATTTAGAGATTTTAGTGCCGGCTGCTTCAAAATGCTGTCTCGAATTGCCCCCTGGGGACTAATAAAGTTGTCTTGAGTCTTGAGTAATTAATTAATTAATTTATTTTAAAAATGATAGTAATCTGTTAAAAGCTAAGCTAAAAAGATGGGTCTTGAGCCTGTTTTTAAAAACATGAACGTTCTCTGCAGCCCTGAGGTCCCCTGGCAGCTCGTTCCAGAGACGAGGACCGTAATGCTGGAAGGACGCCTTGCCGTGCCTATGTGTCCTGACTTTAGGGATGACAAGGAGACGGCTGCCAGAGGAGCACAGAGACCGCGTGGGTTCATACGATATAAGCAGTTCTGAAAGATAAGAAGGCCCAAGACCATTAAGACACTTAAAAAACATTTAAAAACCGTTAAAAGTATTTTAAAACATAATTTTCAGATGCAGTTTTGTTCAAAAACAAGCCTTATAAATGAGGCGCTGGTGTTTAGTTTAACTCTTTTTTTCTTTTCTAGTTCCTATGAGACTGACGAAATACATAGCCATATTCCCTAAAGCTGGCAACAGCAGTTTACTCTAGTCTCAAACCAGCTGCAACTGCATCTGACCTAGTGTGTTAAACACAATAAAGTAACTTCAGACAGCCACTTTTTTTTATTTCACATGGATGTGTATCACAATAATTTAATTAATTTAAATGAAAATTACTTATGATGAGCATTTTTCCCAGGTTCTAAGGTGAGATGAAAAATGTGATCAATTCGATTCATTAATTAATTAAAGATCATAATTAATTAATCAAACTTTATTTTATCACAGCACTGCTTAAACCATGTTGGTAAAGATGTGCTACCATGAAAAAACTTTGTTAGAACATAAAGCCAGCCCCAATTGTAAATGGCCCTAAAGAAACATAACTACTTAACTACTACTTAAGGTGCAAATTACCTTGGTGATGCCCAGAACCCCTATGTTAGGACTGGAGGAGGTGGAACCATTTCCTGTCCCTAAAAGACCAGCAATGATGCAGCAAACACCCTCAGTGAAGATTCCTCTGATTTAAATAAAACAAATAAACAAGTAAATAAACTGCAACTGTGGGGTCGAGTCTACCAGTTTATGTGATTTCCTGTCTCACCTGTTGATAGCATGGATTGGAGGGGGCGTAGCACCTGACAGACGAGCACAGGCGTAATAATCACCAATTGACTCCACAATTCCCGCCATGGTTGCACTCAGCATTCCCAATACCCCAGCAACGGTTATCACAGGCAACCCCCATTGACCTATCAGATTATCATCATAATCATTGTTATCTTCTAGTTGAATTCATATTTATTAAATTCACAAAAGAGTCAAAATTGTGATTGGTGGATGTCTTACAAGGGTATGGTACTCGGAACCAGGGTGATGATATCATAATGTCACCTCGAGCATCGGTCCGGCCTTTTTGTCCATAAAGATCTGGGTCACTCGGGAGCAGGTTGGTTAAAGTGAGGATGTAGCAGACAAGCCAAACCAACATGATGGCAAGAATGATCTAAGAATTAGGTCAGAGGCTGATATCACTACATGACACTTTTAATACCTGCCTTCATCACTAATACCAGCAACTTGTTTGTCTGCAAGCTAATTTCTACTTACAGGGAACATCTTGAAGATTTGAACTCTTTTGAAGTTCAGTCCTTTTCTTCTGCTATAAACCGGTATTGGAAGTGATGTCGTCCTCAGATAATGGGCAAAAAGCACAATAAGGAGGATACACCTACAAGTAAACACAATATTACCTACCTATGAATCATCAAATATTTCAGTATATCCAAGCAGATGACAGATTAGAGAAATATTACCTTTTTCTTATGTGTTTAAATCAGTTATGTCAAATACAGCATTTGAGTCCCATCCAGCAGAATTGTATTCACATACAGTGACAATAAATGCTTTCTGATTCTTTGACACTCAAGTGTGACGGAAAGGTGTAAAATACAGGTGTGGCAGCTAGGTCAAATAATCAGGTGTAAAACATGCTTCTTACAGTGATGAGAGGCCCCAGTGGGACCCAGCCCTTTCCCCGGCAGTAGTGAACGCAGAGAGACCAATTAGTGAAACAGTTGGCGTGATGGTGAGCGGACCAATATATTCCAGTAGCAGGCCAGGTAATCCACACAGACCAATCACGACCTCCACCAAACTGGACATGATAATGGCTCCCTGAATCTACAAAAAAAAAAAAAAAAAAAAGACCCACAACACAAATAATTTACATGATGTCAGCCAGGCATTATGTCTTTTCTTATATTCTGTCATTGTCACTGAAAACAGATATTAAATGGTAAATGGCCTGTATTTGATAAAGCGCCTTCTAGAGTCCTGGAACCCCCCAAGGCACTTTACAACACAATCAGTCATTCACCCATTCACACACACATTCACACACTGGTGGGGATGAGCTATGATGTAGCCACAGCTGCCCTGGGGCGCACTGACAGAGGCGAGGCTGCCGAGCACTGGTGCCACCGGTCCCTCCGACCACCACCAACAGGCAACGTGGGTTAAGTGTCTTGCCCAAGGACACAATGACAGTGACATACTGAGTGTGTGTCACGCTGTGAGCCAGGAAAAGGTTAGGACCCAAGATGCAGAGACTCCAGAACGACATGAGGCAGGTAGAAAAATGTAAAATCCTTTATTTAAGGAATAAATGTCCAAGAAAATCAAAGTCCAAAAATGTCCAAAACGCAAAGAAACCTAGAGACCAAGAGAAAACCTAATGCCTAGAGACCTAGAAAGGGGAACGAGAACAACCCTGACACAAACAATGGACCAACACTACATTGAGACGCAGACAGGGTTATATACACAAGGGCTGGGTGATTAGGGAATTGTGCACAGGTGAGACCAATAGAGGAGGAGCACAACGGAGCAGGAGAGGGAACCAGACCTAAAAATGGGGAAGGGAGCAAAATGAACTAGAGGGAGAAAACTGACTAGATAAAACACTTAACAGAAGACTAATGATAAAAGGTGACTAAGGAAAAACGTAAGGGAAACCTAGAGAGCCTGAAGGGGGCTAGGGACACACAGGGACACTGAAACCTGGGGGGAACACCTAAGGGGAAAAAACCTGGAGTGGGCTGGGGAACACAAGGAGGCACATGAGGAACACCAGGAGACACATAAGGGAAACCTAGAGAGGGATGAAGAACACAAGGGGACACATGAGGGAGACGCAGGACGCAGACCATGACAGTGTGGCTCAAATCTGCAACCTTCCGATTACGAGGCGAGCACTCAACTCTTGTGCCACCATTGCCATCGTCATATTATACCAAGGGATTTAAAAGTAGCTAAGGTAACTCCTTTATTCAAAATTGGGGATGCTTGTTTATTTAAGAATTATTCCCCTATATCTGTGCCAACTGTGTTCTCTAAAATTTTTGAAAAACTACTTTATTCAAGTATTTTAAAACATTTGTGCAATAAATGCATTTTATATAACCATCAATTTAGATGTAGAGAAAAAAATGTTTACAGAAATGGCGTTTTTACGGTTTGTCGATGAAATTATGTAGCATCCAGCAATGGTCAGTTTTTAGGTACTGTTTGACCATTCAACATCTGGTCCAAAAGGAGACACAAGACTGCATGTGTTCCCTTTAAATTAGCCTGCCTTCATCTCATCAGCTGGAGCTCAGAGCCTCTCTGCAGCTCTGAACACTGAAACCGAATTTTCAACAATAATGTTCTCTCCTCAAGGTCCATCCTTATCGTCCTACAGGATTCTTCATGTCTAACACTTGCAGCTTGGATCAGTTGCTAAATCAAATAATGATTTCCTAAATTAAATACGAACTTCTATAATTTATAAGCTAGATAATCATTAAATAAACAGTTTATAAAATAAAAGTAGTTTAAAGTTAAAGTCCCATTAGTTGTCACACACAGGTGTGTGTGTGCGAAATTTGTTCTCCACATTTGACCCATCCCCTGGGGGAGCGGTGAGCTGCAGACACAGCCGCACTCGGGAACTATTTGGTGGTTTAACCCCCCAATCCAACCCCTTAATACTGAGTGTCAAGCAGGGAGGCATTGGGTCCCATTTTTTCAAAGTCTTTGGTATGACCCGACCAGGAATCGAACCCCTGATCTCCCAATCTCAGGGCGGACACTCTACCACTAGGCCACTGAGAAAGGTCAAAATTGATTATTGCTACTTATAATAATTATAATGTAATGAAATGTTTCATTAATCTGTGCTCAGTGACTGAAGTTTGAAATGAATGTTATGTTATGATTACAGTGATTGAAATATGTTTCAGCATGTTTATATGACGAGGTCATCACCACTTGCACTCACACAAGAACAAAGTAAGGTTCAGTTAAACTCATGACACATAATAGCCTTCACCCCAGATCACAGCCTCCGGATCAAGGAAGGCGTGTTTCTGAGATCCTTGGTAATATTCCTCAACATGCCAACCTTTGGCTGGCTACACAAATCATAACATGAGAACATTAAAACCAGATTACTCTGGTGATTCAGCAGTTCTAGAGAAAGCTTCAGACAGGCCATCTGAAGCAAAACCCTCTTTAACCATCAAAGCTTTTGACACGTCATCAAAACCTTTTTGCACCTGCAAAGCTGACACCGCAATAGTTCCTGCAGAACAAGCTGATATTGTTTAGACTCCTTAAGAGTCCGCCAGACGCACGGTTCCATCTGTCTGTCGTGACCTGGAGACATCTCTAAGACCGGTCTAGTAGCGCCGCAGTTTCTTCTAAGGACCTCGGTACCTGGAAGTCTGAGGGCTTCGACAATCCGCATCTATCACGAGGGTCTTCGAGTGGGTACAGTATGTAGACATGACAGATTGCGTCTGATGAGTTTTTGATAATAATCAACTTCATAGCTTAACGCAAACCAAATTCTTTTACATCCAGAACTCAGCTCTCCTAGATACGGAAGTACTGACAACATCACATTCACACATAGGTTTCATACATCACATCTAGCTCCATCCACTCACGGTAAATGTTAGTTAACTTGTCATGTTTTAATTGTTTGTAAAATAAATTCTTACTTTTATAACCTGACTCTTTTCTGAATCAAAACGAAGTGTGTACAATCCCTTAATAAATAACGAATCCTAGAATCTTCTGATTAACACAGTAAAGACCAAGCAGGGTTGATATTCTATATTTAGATAGAGTATCACAGCTTATTGGTCATAAGTAGAGGTAATATATAGAGAGCTCTTAAAGCACTCAATTTACCAAACCCTACAATTAGATAATTTAAAAAAATCTCTTGTTGTTTTTGTAGCAAAGGCATTTGATACAGTTGATTTTAAAATTCTTCAAACGAAAAAAAAAATGGTATAGGAAATGTTACTTTAGGTTAACCCTAACTCAGTTACCTTTGAGAGAAGGAGCAATATGTTTGCATTAATAATCAAAATTCTAATAGTTAAACTAGTATGTGGGGCTCCACAGGGTTCCATTTTGGGTCCACTTTTATTTTTAATCTATATTAATGACTTAAAACAATGTTTTACAACCCTGGTCCTCAGGGCACACTGACCTGCATGCACGTCTTGCATGTCTCTGCTTCAGCACACGTGATCTACATTGCAGACTGTTGACAATTTGCACACATGGTCCGTGATACGTTCTCTAACAACAGTGTGTGAGTGGGTGTGTAAAGATGGCGCTGACTGTTGCGGCACGCCATCTGTTGCTTGTAATTGTGGTTTTAGCATTGTTTTTGAGTCACTTTTAGCTTTTTCAAATCCCATTTTTTAATATGATCAACACCCTTCTTGATCTTCGGTTGAGCTCAGGACTCGGGCTATGTTGAGGGTCTGACCTCATGAGGAAATTACTATGCAGTGATTTTCTCCAAAATGACTGTGCTTAAATTGCTCTGAAAAGCAAATAATCACATCAGCGCCAAGAAACTTCATTTCCCATGATGCTTTGCACACGGAAGCATTGGGTGATGTCACCGCCTAGTACCAGAAACACGTTCTGCGCATGTGCGGGAAGCCGTGGAGCTTTTCCCGCGAACTAAGACCATAAATCTTCAGCAGAGACAAAGAATCCTCGTTCTTTTGCCCAGGATACCTGGCGGTAAGGACACGCTTGTCGAACGCTCCGACAACTTGAGCACGCGGAAGCTCTAAGTGCCCAAGTTGAGCCACACAACCGCTGGAAACCACTCCACCATTATCGGGACCTGACTGGGAACGAGCGGAGCTCCATTCAGCTCTCAGAGACGCTGTAAGTTGTCAAACTCAGCACAAAAGAAACTTCGTTCTCTTTGTGTCCAGCCCGTGGAGAAACACTCCCGGAGAACGCCAAACAACGGAGAAAGCATCAAACCGACGGATGACGCTGAAAACTGCGGAGAAAACGGAGAACCGTCAAATCAAACAGCTGGGGACGCCTTGCTGCTCTTCTGGTGATCAGAAAACTCATTTTTCTCTCTCCCTTTCTTCTCCCGTTTCCTCTATAGTCCAGAATAAGCAATAAAACCGCGCTATTGCTTAAAAAGTAGCTTCGTGTTTTCCTCTTTCGTTCCCAAAACACGTCCGCCGGGTCATTTTGAAAGAATAAACTGCTTATTGATCATCGCTAATATCTTTAGTCGTCAGCTCTGGCCAGGCTGCCGACTCCTTTTAGATTAAATAATTTACAAGTGACCTTTTGTTGTTTGTTAACTTTTGAAGTGTTTGAGTTAAGTTTTACTGTGATTCTAAGCCACTAAGTGTTCGGGAAAAGTAGAAAACTTTACACATCCAGGTCTCCTGTTGAATGCGAGGGGAGGGGAAGAGCCCCACACACACTCACAGCTCACTCCCCCCCACCTACTCTGGGGAAACAAAGACCCATTCATCTCACACACACACACACACTCACTCACACACACCACACAAACACCTTGAACATTATTTTGAATATACATCCTTTTATTATATCACATGGTTATTATTCATTTATGCCACTGTTTATTCATTTGACAAATTGTTAATTAAACGTTATAAAATTCAGATTTTCGTCTCCAGTAGCTTTGTTGTGTCGAAGAGAAGTCTCTGCTCCAAGGATTCTACGAACTTCAAGAAAGACTGATAAGAGTTTTGGATTCAATTTTTCCCCGGTTAAAGGGGAATGGTGCCCCGTATATCTAAGAATATCTTAATTAATTAATAAATCAGTAA